CAGAGGATTTTTTTTTTTTTTTTTTTTTTTTAATTTCAAAAGAAATTAAATAGACGTCTTTCAAACGGTTCCAAATTGAAAACCATAAACCATTGTTAATTCAAACTTCTTTGTTACTGTTTAATTTGGTTAATTCAATAATCATCAAGTAGTTTCGGATCAATTTTTAAAGATGAATTGATTGAATGGTTGTTGTGATGAAGCATTTGCTACAGTTATTCTTATTTATTTTATAAAATTTTCTAAATTTGAAGTCATATTTAAGCTTAAATTTAACAAGATAATATTTATGAATTACCAATTTTTATTATCCTCTACAGCCACTTATTTGTGTCTCCTCTTGAATCCGTGTAATGACCTGCCACACGCTTTGAAAGAAGAGTTCCGTGACATAGTTTCCAACCCCTTTTGCAAGGCGTATTTGTGGCAAAATCAGTATACAGCCCCCTTGATAATGGGTCTTGCGGCCTGTGCACTCTGCTTCAAGAGAGTGGCCGAGCTTTCAAGTTGTTTGCTATTGAAGGACTTGAAGAACCATTTCTCCGGCCAACGCAGTATGACTTAATCAGTTTTTTTTTAATGCTTTTAATTAGAGAAAACAAATAAGTAGAACAAAATGAATAGAAATTTAAATTTTAAAAGTTTATGAAAAACGAATAGCAAGCACAATTTTCTTGCTTTCAAACACAAAGCGCGTTATGATAAGCTCTTCATTGTGCCTTTCGCTCTTGATCCTAACTTGGCTGCGCTACTCGCCTCTTTCAAACTTTGAAAAGTGCCGCTTGCGTGGCCCAGTTATTTTCTATACACCCCGTGAAAAACATGCACTCTTGCTACATAAAAAGCAGCACTGAGATGAGGACTATGAGGAGTATATTTTAAAACGTGTAGGCACCGCCTTTACTTCCATGCCCGGCTGGCGCGCAGCAAACGATATCCAGAAGTTCATTAAAACTCGGCTCATATTTTGCTCAGCTAACTGGTCCCCTAAGGGTTAGAGACCAAACTAACTGACTCGCTGGCTGGCTGCCTGTCGCAGTCCAGGCTGCAAGTTTTACTTCTTCTTCTTCTTGAGAGGAACAACCAGTCGACTTTTAGTACATACATATATGCATGTCTTTCGCCTACTTCGCCCTAGCGAAATGTGTCCCCCATGAAAATTACGCCTGCAGGTCTCCACCAATTTTGCGGTCTCGAGAACTAATTTCGAATTGTCGGCCTCTTCTCGGATGACGCAGCACAAGACGCTGCCTTGTCCTTTTGAATTGGCACGTGAGAATTTTCAATAAAACGCATTCCTGTAGGCTCACAAAAAGGGAAGAAATTCGCTTGAAATTTTTAACCCTTAGTGTTCTACACCCACGTGTTCTATTATTTAGTGCACGCGGCCTATGATATCAATATCCAGACAAAAATTATAGATCTCAACGATTTCTAAGAAAAAAATCAATTTTCTTCTATAAAATTGAATATCCTCTTAAAATGAACACTTTTGCGGTCTCCAGGTTTAATAAATTTTTAATTTCCATCAAATTTGGTAGTATCACTTTCTGTTCCTATTAAAATAAATTGATTGAACGAGAAGGTCATCAGTCGTCATTATTTAAATAAACAAAGATTTTACCTACACATGTGATGAGGAATAAAGCAGTGAAATTGCGTGAAACTGGAGTTAATTAAACAGTTCCAAACTTTTTAATTTCCTCCTGTCAATATACTCATTCTCAAGAGTTTCCATTCCATCGCAGCTAATGAAACGAGAGCGCGCCTGCGGAGCAATAAGTTACGGTTCCCCAGATATCGGGTTTGCTTTCGAGCACCTCAAGTGGCAAGTGTCAATACTTTTGCCACTCGAAAGTGCAATAACTTTGGCTACCGCAGCAATGTCAATATTCAAATCCTCTCACCCTCCTGCCTTTTGCCGAAAACCAATGTCGCAATATTAGACGGCCAGAGGTGTTGGATTTGAGAAACTTTTCCACCGCCCGCCCTCGCTATAGACGGATATAATAAATTTGGAATTGCCACGGGCTCGGAAAGTTTGCAGATTTTTTTCTCGCACAGTTCAAAAGTCGAGGCTGACTTTCCCCTGCGAATGTCTTTGCGGTGAACAGTTATTTATCACGCTCTGAACTGCCTGTTGAAGAAAAGTCGCAAGTTGTGCGCACGGCGAATGCAATATCCTGAAATCTGAAACAAGCACGACGAGGCCTTTCTAATTGCAATCGTTAATCATTTTTCCAGGCAGGCCGTGAGTTTCGAGTCTCTAATTGGAACGAGGAAAATGCCACGCAAAGTCTTTCCTGAAAAAAGTATTTTTCTTCATTATATTTATCCTTATAATTTGTAATGCAGAAATAAAATACAAACCTTACATTTTTGCAATCAGAAGAAAGGCTGCAATTCATTCAAATGCGCATTCTTAATAATTTTATAAAATTGGTTAAAAATTTAAGTTTTAAAATATATCATTGCATTCAGAATTAAATTTCCTTTTGTGCTATTAATGAAAAAGCGACGAGCGCAGGCCGAGCGCAGGCCGAGCGCAGGCCGAGCGCAGGCCGAGCGCAGGGCGAAAAATTTACAAACTAAATGACAATTTCGCAAAAGGAAGTTTATTTTGTTGCATATAAATTATTTCACAGGATCATTTATTTGAAAAAATTCCTTAATACCAAAAAAAATTATTATTATATATTTGCAAATCCTGACAAATTATTGTGAATATGGTCAGTTTACCTTTTTTTTGATTATTTAAATAAATTATTTTAATGACGTCTTTTACTTTTAAAATTTAAGTTTTAAAATATATCATTGCATTCAGAATTAAATTTCCTTTTGTGCTATTAATGAAAAAGCGACGAGCGCAGGCCGAGCGCAGGCCGAGCGCAGGCCGAGCGCAGGCCGAGCGCAGGCCGAGCGCAGGCCGAGCGCAGGCCGAGCGCAGGCCGAGCGCAGGCCGAGCGCAGGCCGAGCGCAGGCCGAGCGCAGGCCGAGCGCAGGCCGAGCGCAGGCCGAGCGCAGGCCGAGCGCAGGCCGAGCGCAGGCCGAGCGCAGGGTGAAAAATTTACAAACTAAATGACAATTTCGCAAAAGGAAGTTTATTTTGTTGCCTATAAATTATTTCACTGGATCATTTATTTAAAAAAATTTCCTTAATACGAAAAATAATTATTATTATATAATTGCAAATCCTGACAATTTATTGTGAATATGGTCAGTTTAGCTTTTTTTTAGATTATTAAATTAATTGTTTTAATGACGGGCTTTACTTTTCTGCGGCAATAAAAAAATATTTTTGCAATTCTGGATTCTGGAATATTTTAAAATTTATTATTGAGGCTATTATAAAAATTTAAGTGCCTATATAATATATAATTCGATTTATATATAGACTATGTGACACTAAAAACGATTTATTTATTTTCTTTTTCCTAAAAGGCAACACTTTTCTACACTAATTTTAACAGAAAAAACACACGCACACTTAACAATTATCTGAGAACTTTTTGAAGAGATTTTATATTTACCAGTTCATTACCAGCTATATTTTGATCCATCACAAAACATTTTATTTAAAAGGCAATAGTGCTTTATATGCATTTGTTCACTCAGTATAATTTAAAAAAAATCTAGAATACGAATTTAAGAAACAAGGTAAAATTGTTTAAAAACCATTTTGAAAAGAAGCATTAATTCTCTTGGGTTAATGCCGGTGCCAGTAGTGCCATTAAACCGTCTCTGATATTGTCTTATCTTTCAATGAAGTGCCTGGTCGCAGTGATTGGTATCATTTGTACCTAATGCGCGGGTAGTATTCCCAATTGTTATTACTCGGCCGAGTGGGCGGCCATTCGTCTCTCGTTTCAAAGAGCTTCCCACTATTTCACGTTGCACCACTGGCTAGAGCAATTTCCTATCCAACAGGCTCGCTAGTTCTTTTTTCCACCTAGCCCCGTATTTGTAATCAAACTCGTGCGTTAGCGTGTGGAAAACATGTCAGCGAAAGAAACTAGTAAATAGCACAAAAAAGCGACTTGGAGGGACATTTGATCAGCTCTAGTGTATCATTTTTTCTCTCTGCGTGACAGTTTGTGAAATAATGTTTTTGGCTTGGAAATTTCTTCTAGAAAAGGAAGACATTATTACAGCAGCGATCGCGTTGCAAAAGGTGCTGTTATCTGAGCGACTGGCTTTTTACGCAAGCAGGGAAAATATTTGGAATTGACTGCTGTGCGTGTTTTGTTGACAACAATGACACGACCTTGTCACGTTCATAATGAGCCTCTGCTGTGTCTACCGTAAGCCAGAGTCTATTCTAAACCCTTTAGATCATATTATCAACTGACAAAACATTTTATATTTCAATTATCGGAATTATCAAAAGAAAAATTTGTATTTTTCAGTCTTCTTAAAAAATAGAATCGTTTGAGTGATCTATGCATACCCAAGGAAATGAGTCTACTTTGGTTTATTTGAGGCAATATTCAAATCAATCAGCCATGGCATTGTTGTTGGTTTTTAATTTAAATACGCATAAAATAATCAATCAGAAATTTTCAAAACAATTGCTCTCTTATGCAACTAAAATATTGTTGGTTCAGCGATCAAACTTAAAAAAAAAAATGCAACCTTAAATAATCATCAATAAGGTAATTCACAAATAAAATAGACCTGAGAATTCACTGATACTCATTTTAATAAACTTAAATTTGTTAATATTGATTGCTTATAGATTTTTAATTTTAAATTCCTTCCAAAAAATGTAACCTCCAATCCTATTTTAAGTATTTTTTTTTTTTAAATTGGGAAATAAAATTAAAAAAAAAACGTTATGTAACAATAATACAAACAATCTGCCATTCCCTTTAAGAATTTAAAAAATCCCTTTCAAAGCAACCTTCGGCTGAAAGATAATACTTATCGGTCACCTGAAATCACATGGCCACGCACCTGAAACCAATATAAGCCATCGCACAAAATGTTTCTCAAACACTTTTAGTTAGACGCTTTACATGAAAACATAATAATTTAGTGCAAATGTGGTCCACAATGTGCTTGCTCCTCTCTGTGGTGCTCATGAGTGCCACTGTTTCGGAGGCACAGGTTCTTATGAATGGTGCCACGTGCCCTACACTGGTCAAATTCATGTCCTTTTTTGACACCAACGATGTAAGTTTCGTGTTTGTTTTTCATTTTATATATTTTTTATGTGTTTTTTTTTTTTATTATTAAGAAAAGTTAATCATATTGTCATTCATAGCTCTATAGCCTTTGAAATCCTACACTAAAATGTAAATCTTGAATATATTTTTTCTCCCCCAGTTTACCGGGACGTGGTACGAAATGATCCGCACCAAGCGATGGGTGGGCACCGAAATCGGATGTGTCACTCACAGTCTGCAGATGAACTCTCAATTTAACATTTCCTACGTAACGCAGACCTACAGTCCCACGTAAGGAATTCGCGTCCCGATTGCTATTTTTATATTCACCAAAAATTCGCTCGTTTGATGCAGGCTCAAGAAAGTAATGACGGAAATGGGTGACGCAGAGATTGCTTTGGAGAAATACGATGGCAGTTCAAAAGGCATTGTGGTCTTCGATATTGTTGAATATGGTAAGTGCTCTGATTTATTTTTAACTCTGAAGGATTTTTAAAAAGCAGTATTTAAAAAAAAAATTATTAAAATTTCCCATCAGGAAAAAAATGCAATTAATTCCAATCAGCATTTCAAAATAATAGCATCAAGAAAAATTTTGAATTTGATGTAAAAAACAAAAAATTAATTAAATGGTTGAATAAAATTATGCAAGCCTTTCCGCTTTTTTTTTCTTGAAAAATAAAATAAATAATAATAGTTTTTGCGGCAGTTTTTACTTGATATATATTTTTATTTTAAAGAAGCAGCTTAAAATTTGCAAAATTTTCGCGAATGGGGTGTGTTTTAGTGAGCGAGTTTTAGCTGACTGAGTAGATGATGATTATATTTCAGGAACAATGAGCGAGCTGGTGCTGCTCGACACGGACTACACAAGTTTTGCAGTGCTCTGGTCTTGCTCCCCGACAGACGAGGATTTGCATTTCGGTGAGAGTGAAATAATCCACCCGCCGAGCTCGGCGGGACGAACGCGCTAATAACGTGTTGTTTAACGCAGAGAACACCATGATTTGGACGAGGGATAAAGTGCCGAAGGCTTCCGCTCTGACCAGGGGATTACGCGCCCTAGACAGCAACAACCTCTCGCGCAATTATCTCTCCTACACCAGTCACCGCAACTGCCCTGAGTTCGCGCCTCTTGGACCTGATCAGGGTGAGATAACGTCCCAGACTTAAGCCTCTCGCCAATCTGTTTGCTCCCTTGTGCCTCCCTTGGTTTCCCAGAAGCTAAATATTTAACTTCTTCTCAACTTGTGTTGGCCCTCTTCTGTACTCTCCTTTTTGGCTCTTAACAAAAAATATGAATGCAATATGTATTTCATTAATACTGATTAATACATGCATGAAAAATAATTGTATAACTCTCAAGTTTTCGGTAATTGAATTTCGCAATGAAAACCATACAATGAGAAATCACAGAATTATGCATTCATTAAAAATGGAGCAATCGATTAATTACTTCAAAACTATAATTCCTAAAAAACCCATTATATGATTTACATTGAATAAGAAAATGTGGCTCTCAAAGCGTAATAATACAATTCAATTCAATTGGAACCAATTCAAAAGCCGAATCAAAGCAGTTTCCATAGTGTGTGGACCAATCAGAAGTGGTGCCATGAAGGTACCTTTTCTTGAAAGGCCTAACATTAAATACATTAGAAATTAAATTAATTAATTAATTGTAAGTAGACTCCTCTGAATATAGGCATTTCAGCCTGGATAATAACATAGTTAATTTTTTTGCTTATAATTATGCTAATTTAAGTAATTAAAAAAAATATTTATATAAAAAAATTTAAACGGAATTAATTCGTTGCTAAATGTTGCATCTGAAATGTTCTAATTTTTTATTGTTTAAGATGTTACCAGATGTTACTTATATTCAGAATTTTTTTTATGTTTTCAACAAAAATTATTTGTCATATAATAAATTGTTTGCTATTTTTTAAACTTTCAATTTTTAGGGTGGGGAATTATAGCAACAAATATGCCTGGAAATGGATCAAATGATATGCCAGGAAATGGAACAACTAATATGCCTCCTGGAAATGAAACGGTCAATATGCCTGTAAATGGAATGGTCAATATGAGTGTCAATGGATCAACTAATATGCCTGGAATTGTAACAACTATTATGCCTGTTGTAACCACACCACCTGTCGCTTCATCTTCAGCCACCTTGATGTCTCCGAGCATTAGCTCAAGTTCAAACACAAAAAATCTAGTTGCGAGTACACCAGCAGTACCAGTTACTTCAGCAACCAAAGCATCCAATCAAATCTCAAATTCCTCGAAAACCAATTGATTTATGCTTGTAAAATTGAAACACAATATTTATTATTTACGTACTGACGAAGTTTCATGCCATTGCAAAAAGTGGAATAAAGGAACAGTTTCATCTAGTTTCACCAGAGAAGACTGGTTTCATTCAAAGCTTAGAGCGTTACACTTGTTTGTAGCGCGTGATTAATGAATTCCAAGTAGGTGCTTGGCAGCAAGTTACTGCTCTCGGCTCGGGAGCTGCAAATTAAAAGGCGCAAGCGGCAAAGTAGTAAGGAGCGCAGGAAATGTTAATTATTTGCATCACGGCGCAAAGCTGGCTTTGCCAAGTTCACTCATATATTAGGGTAATGACCACAAACAAGTTTTACGTAATATGCATAGACGAGCAACTTTCTTGCATCACCCAGCTTCAAACTTGAGGCACCAAAAACATGCCGAGAGCCCTTCGTTCTATCCGGAGAGCTGATAAGAAAACACGCGCCCATTTAATACCGGTCGGTGTGTTTCAACATAAGCCCCATGCACTGCACTTTGCTTCAAACTTGCAAACAAATTTTATTGAAAATCGATCTTGACTCGAACGCTTTGTGCGAGGAAACACAAGAGAGATAAGCAATAGTGGAATTGCGGAGGTGATTTACTTTTGAACTTTGTACCACGGAACGTTACGCAATTCAGGTATTTTTTAAAATTATTATTTTAATAATTTCTGTATATTTGTCCAAATTTTTACAAAATGTTTACAGGCAGCAAAAAAAATTGAAAGGGAAAATAAATTTTTGTTCTTATTGTTATTATTTTGATGTTTTATATTAAAAATAATTCTTGATAATTATTCATTTTTTTTTCAATTGAATATAAATTTAGAAACGGGTTAATTGGATCAACAAAGTAACAATACAATTAAATTTTTTTCTCATAGCCGCCATGATACAAGAAGAGGAAAATTAAATTATATGATTTTTTATTCTTCTCGGTCAATACAAAAAAATTTGAAATTCCTCTTATTTTAGTGCATAAATTTAGGAAAATTCCCCAAAAATAATTTCTAGAAACTTTGAAATTGCGTAATTTGCATGCGAAAACAAAGCTGCAAGTTGTAAAAGACGTGGGTTGGATTTCCATTTTGTAAAAGCTTCAAGGAATTTTGAATGAGTGTGCGAGACAGAAAGGCGCTCATGCAGCAGAGAGAAGTAAGTTCTCCTCTCAACGTTAAAAGAGTCATACACCTGTAATAATAAAGTTTGCGCGCTCACACGCAGTATACCATCTGTGGGTGAAATTACATTATATGTGTAAATGTATTTCCGCGGTACACACACACTCTCTCCCGTTTTAATAGACACGTGGGGTTAATCAAGAGTGCGGCAGGTTTCGTTCCGAACGCACAAGAAACGCGAATTTACGAGACTGCGATGTTATCTCGAGCCACATAAATTAGGCAACCCGCTGAACTCGGCGTCGTCATATTTCACGCGGCCGGTGCGTGCGTGTGCCGCTGAGAATGACGTCGCGGAACGTGGAAAAATTAATTAGCACAAGAGGCTTGACTTCTATATGATCCTGCGAGAAAAAACGTTTCATGAATTTGGGCAAAAATTTTCTCGAAAAACTTATTTCGCTGTTTTTCTCGAGTTCCTGCAGGTTATTGTAACGTAAAAAAGGCACATAAAATAACACAGAGCAGTTTTTTAGAACATCATCAGAGAAGTTTTTTATGGCCAAAATTGTAGAAAAGGAAACTTGCCCTGTTCGTCTGATTGCATTTTATTTTATTTTATGGTGCTACTTTAAATTAAGGGTCTGCGTGGCTAACATTTTGCGTGAGACTTTACAATTGCGCGTGACTTTGTTTGTTTTAAACCAATTGCATTTCTTTAATCTGTTAATGAGATCCAGATGCTTAAAAATTCTGGGTAGCATTAAATCTGATCAAGGTACCTCAGTAAAATTTTGAAACATACACTCTGAAGTATATTAAGTAAAGAAATTTATTGTGCTTGCTTATACTCTATCCCATCATATAGTTCTTTTTTATAAGGTAATCGATCTCAATTGGTAACATTCTAAGCACTTTTGAAAATTTGATAAAAATTTTTTTTTAAATTTTCACTCCTTTCAATAAATATAATTATTAAAACTAGAAAAAAATCATAAACAAGAACATCCCCAAGGATAGAATTCCTGACAATAAGCAATGGAACAAAACAAGAAACAAGCGTGGAGCGAAAAAGTGCATTGCTATTGAAAAAAAATTTCTCTGTTAGGAATAAGTAGATTGTTAAAAAAAAAATCATAATAATGACGAAAAATTTAGAATTTGTACCCTAACTGTACTTTCATTTGATAAGTACAGAAGTCTTTTTAAAAACATTATAAAATTTTATAGAAATCCATTATTCTGCGCACATTAAAAAAAAAATCTTTTCAAGGGTGCTTGTAGCCTGAAAATGATAATTATTATAAATTATAATACGATTTCTTATTGTTAGCTCTCAACGTTTTTTTCCCTCTTCAGATTTCTTAATTTTCAGACGCTTCCTCGCAAAAAAAAACTACGCTGAAGTTGCTAGGGCGAGCTCGGAGCACAAAGAGCCTAATTGATTTCATCAGCAGTTCACCTGTTCGCCACTTTTTTGCCATTCAGGTCGCGCATCTGCCGCGTCGGCTGAAATCCGGTGTGCTCGCTGCGGTTGGTCACTCGGCCGGCCGGATTTATTTTGTATCGATTGCGCCGAGAAGAAAAGCCAGAGAGATGCACCTGGATTTCCGCCGAGTGAATTGCGATGGAGGCGGCGATTGTGATTCTATTTCGCCTCCTCGATCGGCCCGGCGCTTATTATAAAGCCGAGGGGATGACCGCACGAACTCCTTCAGAAAATCGGCTCATGAGAAATCGGGTCACGTGTGCCCAGGACCTTTCGCCTGCTGAAGGGGCGTTCTATTCTGCTGACAGGTGGCATCGCATATTGACAACTGCTGCGGCGGCCACACGCTCAATCCCACACGGCATTTGTGCGGTGTGGGTGACTGACTGCACGGATTCTCAAAATAAGGATTTTTTTTTTTTCAAATTTTATGAAACCTATGTTTCACTAAAATTTGATTGCACTAATAAAATTATTTTAAATGCGATAAAATATTAAGTTATTAAAATTTAAAAAAAAAATAAGAATATTTGTAATTAATTTATCTAATTTTTTTATTTACCAATTAGAAAAAAAAATTCTGTTGAATTGTCTTTTTTTCTAACTAAACCTTCAGTTATAAAAGATTAATGGTTTTAAATATTTTAAAATATTATTTTTAACAGCAAAAATTTAACCAGACACCCGAGAAGGTGTTAGCACTAGAGATCGCATTTGAGTTTTGAGCATTTGTGTGGCTTTCCGTGAGTGTGTGGACGGCCTATCTTCATTTCAGCAGCTGCCACACGTAATATTCCAAAAGGGTCAAACACACTCCAATTTATCCGCAAATAATCCCTGTTTGCTGCGATGGTCGTACTCGCGAGCAGTTAGGGTCATAAAGCTCTGTCTATGTACTCGTGTTCGTTTGTCAAGAGCAGGGCAAACAAACTGAAATTTGATATTAGTAGCAAACTGCTTGTTTCCTAGAAATCGGTGCTCACCTGGAGTTGGAAAAAGTAAACTTCATCATTCAAATTGTCATCGACCATTGAGAAAAGTTGCATTTTATTCTGATAATGTTGTAATATAAAAAATGGGTATCAAAATATTTTCATGAATTGTAAGATCCAATTAAAAATAATTTAATACTTCAATATTGAGTACGTAAAACTGAAGGATGTGTAATTATAAACTGAAAAGCGGTTCAAAATAATATTTATACAATTCCTCACTTTTAGGCTCTTTCATTGGGACAAAGCAGGTGGTGTTATTTTTTAAATTTGCAATAGAGGGCGTATCAAATTCCTATGCAAGAGATCCGTTTTATTATTCATCCAAGGTCGACTTTTGCCCAAACGACGACACGCTTCAGTCAGGCAGTGAATAAATTAGAATTTTAATTGGCTCGGCGCGTAGACGAAAGGCCGTCAGCGGAGATAAAGTAGGCTACGTGCTGTAATTGCAGGCACACTCCGGCGTTCCTCCTTCAGGGCGGCAAAGTATGCAAATTCAAGCACCCCGCAGCAGTCATTTGCAGTTATCCCCGTCTCATTATCGCAGCAGTCGCGATGTCAAAGAAGCAGCGAAAGAAAAACTGGCAAAACTTTTATAATGAGAGAGAGCCAGCCGAGAGCACCTTTTCCAGATATTAAATCGGCAAAAAGTCGGCACAAAACCACTCGACTTGGTTAGTTGGAAACTTTTTCATTCTTTGTTTGCTGGCGGGCGCATTCTTTCTGGCTGCACCTTTCGTCCACCTGCTCCGTCTCTCACCCACTTTAATTGTATTTTTATGCTAATCATAAAAAAGTTCGCTTTAGAGTCGCACTGGAAAATAAATTAAAATTTTATAGACGAGCTGTCAGCGACAGGGCGCGCACCGAAAAACAAACCTTAACCTTCTCACCCCGAGATTAAAGTCGTTAAGGACTGTTGAAAGCATAAAGTGCGAGATTTTTCATAATTGCCGGTTGCGGCTGGCGGACCGAGAGACATCTGCTCGCGGAGGGCAATGGGGTGCAAAATGAGAGTGCCGCCCTAACTGGGGCAGATCAAATCTGCGCTTATAAATTATGATTATTGCGCCCCCACGACAATGATAAACGGCGCCAAGTGCAAATATCTCGTCGCGTCTCATGCTGAATTTCTTCTTGTGATATAATAATATATGCGGGGGTGCGAGCGGATTATTTTCGTTTTTATTCTCTATACCAAAACATTTGAAGGTTTCTCATTATATTGTAAATTTTGTAAATGATCCAAATGAAAATAAATAACATTATTGTTAATTATTATGAAATGATAACAAATATTTCATTGTAAATATTAAAAAAAAACGCACTCTCCCTGAACTCTCCTATAACCATCCAATTCCATAAGAAATTTTCAACACACGAATTATTCATGACGTAATTTAGACGCAATGTTATCAAAATCAGCACAGTGTGATGCACTCCCACCTCGTTGTCTTCGCGCTCATTACTGATAGCGCCAAATC